AAAAACTTAACATTTAAGAGACTCATCAGAAAAATCACTGGAAATATTAGCAATTATGAGTTCCACATTCATACAACAAAAACGTTCAAAATATTATGTTTGCAACAAAAAATAAAGCACGGATCAAATTCTGCTTTCATTGACATTGACCCAGAGGAAACTGCATGCATATAGCTGTGGTTCCAAGGGTGGAAAAACTGAAAATGAATATGGCTTATGCTTTATACTCTGACACGTAGGCTATGTCTAGACTGCAAGCCTCTTTCGAAAAAGTACATCTAGACTGCAAGCAGTTCTTTCGAAAAAGCAAGCCGCTTTTTCGAAAGAAAGCACCCAGGCAGTCTGGATGCTCTCTTTCGAAAAAGCCCTGTTTGCATTCAAGAACGCCTTTTTTCGAAAGAGCACTTTCGAAAAAAGGCATTCTTCCTCGTGAAATGAGGTTTTCCGCCGTCAAAAGAAAAGCCGCGTTCTTTCAATTTAATTTCAAAAGAACGCAGCTGTAGTCTAGACGCAGGAGAAGTTTTTTTCGAAAAAAGGCGACTTTTTTCGAAAAAACCCTTGAGTCTGGACACAGCCCTAGGCACTATGGAACACATCAAGACCTGGACTTTGTACCAGTGTATAAGGAAGCTGAAGAAAGGCACAAGACACCTTTCCCCCTCCTTTTATAAGCCCATCACCAGGGTCAAGTGGAATTCAAATCCTATGCCTTCTCTAGCTGCACTCTGCTCACTTCATCTACATCACCAACTTTATGTTATGGGTGCTATGACACATCCCCGCACTGCAATAGTTAGAAAGTCTGGGCATCAGTGGAAGGGGGTAATTGCTGCTCGCTCCTGATACATGGCACAGTACAGGTTGTGAACACCCCTGCACATCTCCTGGAGCTATTCAAGAAATGCTCTGCATCAACTCCAATGTGGGTTTGTGGTCAAAATGCAAGATCCAGCCCCTACTTGTACGTGATTTTGCAAGATATATTTTGTCCTTTCTACCTCTTCTACAGCATCAAAATGAGCACGTCCCTTCAAAAGTTTGCTGAGGTATATTGGGACAGCAGAGACCGTTTGATCCCACTGGTGGACATGGGGAACAAATGGATCACCATGCTTTTACAACAGTTTTGGTGTTTGAAAGCATTTATGCCCATCTCTCACCCTTCCCTTCTCTTGACTGAAAATGTGCCCGTTCTTTCCTCCTTTCCTCATAGATCATATCTCCAAGCTTTTATCTCCTCTGGACTCCTTACAATTTCTATTTATGTGTGGTCCCTTGGGACAAAAGCTTCAGGGGACATTGGCAATTTAGAGCCAGGCACAGTTTTTTAAACATTTTCAGCCCAAAAATGCTGATTCTGTTCAACCCAAAACATTTGCCAATTTTGTGTCAATTGTACCCAAATGTTGTGTCTAAAATTTTCTGAAAAAAAAAAAACCTAAAATGTATTGACATTTCAAAAGGAATTGGCTGGATTCAACATGATTTTTCATTTTGAATATTTTCCTTCAATTTCATTAAAATAGTTTTGGAAGCTTGAAATCTAAAACTTTAGTTTTGGGTGGATTTTTTTTAACTTCTTGATTCAATGAAATGTTGGCAATTTTTAACTTTGTGTCAATCTCAAACTATTTTTCCATTTTTTTGTAGAACTTCCTGAAAATCTCTCAGAACAATCCCAATTTCTATATCATCTTTTTGTTCCAGAGGCATCTAACCATTCCTCACGTGGAAAATTAGTGGAGCTTTTGACAGAGGTAATTGATAGCAAAACAAATTCTCAAACTTCAAAGTTGTTTCCATTTCACAGGGTTCAAAATTTACTCTTCTTTTAGCTGAATGGTATGCAGGCTTTTTAATGAAAAATTATTCACCAAAAACCTAGTCATATCAGAAACCGCATACTGAAGAGACAAACTAGACTTCAGTCGAGCTCATTCAGCTTATGACTAAACAGGAGCATTATTTCAGAATAAAGGATGTTATTCCAAAATAACATAGTCTGGGTCTACACACAAGCAGTTATTTCAACATAATGTTGAAATAATGTCCAGACAGAGGACTGCTTACTCTGATTCCTGTAACCCTCATTGTACGAGGAGTAAGGAAAGTCAAAGGTAGAGTGCTCTATTTCAAAATAAGTTCTTTGTAGATGAGCCCAAATTTGATATAAGCTATTTCAACTTAAGAATGAGTAGCTTATTTCAAGTTTAGCCCGTCTGTGTAGATGTACCTTCAGTGAACAGAACTGAATTGGCCTGCCTAATCTTTCTAGCTCACACATGCTAATGATTAATAAAGACCCTCGATTGGCACTCTGGTCCAGGATCAGTTTGTGGGGATGGCAGAAGAAAATAATTAACTTATAAGCTGAACACTATTATTGGAGCTTTTTTAGACACAAATCTCACAATGGCAAACTGAGTTATTCATATAAGGGAATAAACTAGAATCAGTTTACATTCCACCAAATATCTGATTTTGAAAAAAATTACAAATTGAATCAAACCTCCCCACATTATCACAAAATTAAATTGAAAGAACGGTTAGTTTTTAATTAATAAAAGTGTTTCAAATCAATACATTAAAATGTTTTATATTAAAAAAATAATTCATATAAACATTAATGAAGCCATTTTGAAATTAGAAAGATCAAAACTGAATGAAACTTAATTGAAAACCATATGATTTCACACAGACACAGACACATACACACACCATCTACCAGCGTGTCTTTGGACATTAGACTGTAAATAAGCCTGTAAATCACATGCTTTCTTTGGGTTAACAGCAGCATGTGAGGTTGTGAGGTGTTCTTCAGCAGACTTACATTTTTTTCCACTTCTACTTCTTGGTTAAAATGAAGAAAAAAGAGGAAAATCAAGAGGAAAACAAAAATTAAAGGGGAAAACATTCCCTGGGTATAATTCTTTTTCCAGAGCAGCAGCATCTCACTGATAGAAACCTGTAACTTGTGGGTATACCACAACACCTGTTAATCACAGGACAACTGAAATACATGTGGCAACACAACAATTAATTTGCTGTCTTCTTATTTCTGACCCTAACTGGATAAAAGAATATAAGCTATATGAACTAAGGCCACATCTCCACTTACTGGAGGATCGATCCTCTGGCGATCAATCTTCCAGGGTTCAATTTAGAGGGTCTAGTAAAAACCTGCTAAATCAAATTCTGAGGGCACCCCAATATCACTGGTACTCCTTGACATCGTGAGGGGTAAGGGAAATCAATGGGATCATTTCTCCTGTTGACCTCCTGCTGTGGAGATGGCACTAAGCTTGGCTTAAGATATGTTGACTCCAAGTACATTATTTACGTACTGGAATTGCATACATTAAGCTGACCTTCCTCTTTCAGTGTACACCTGACCTAAAACAATGTCTCACCTCCCTCCCAATAAAACCTGAAATCACAAGTTCACTGGGCTTTATTGAATGCTACACATATTCCAGGATGGCCAAAGGATCTGAGAGGTCTCCACCCGGTGCTAAGTTGTAGGGTGTGTCTAGACTACAGGGTTTTGTTGACAAAAGTTGGCTTTTGTCGACAAAACTATACCTGCGTCTACACTACCGCTGCGTTCTGTTGACAGTAAGTTCACAGAATGCGGCAGTTTTGTCGACAGTGGAAAACCTCAATTTACAAGGAGTAACACCTTTTTTCAAAAGTACTCTCGAAAAAAAGCGCTTTTGCATGCAAACTGTGCTTTTTCGAAAGAGAGAGTCTAGACTCTCTTTCGAAAAAGCGGCTTGCTTTGTCGACAGTACTGATCGTAATCTAGACACTCTTTTTCGACGGAGGCTTTGTCAACAGATACTGTTGACAAAGCCTCTATGGAAAAAGTCATGCAGTCTAGATGTAGTTGTAATTACTAGTTTCAGAGGTTTAGAGGAAAAACGAGGTATTGCTCAGCGGTATACTAAATGTCTGCATGGTTTGTGCATGACTCTAGTTTGCATTCTAACCAACTCCAGTCTCCAAACTCAGATCATTGCTTGAGCTCCAGGGAAGAGAAAACCAACTGGTCCAGCTGTGATGCAAGTAAAGCGGTCTGTTCCAGTGCGCTCTTTCAGCTGATATTTACAGCTGGTACAGCATGCCAGCGGTTCCTCTGGTACAGCTGAATTGTCCCCAGCCTTCCACAGAGCTGTATGCCTGCATTTCTGGTCTGTGCTCTCTACTGGAAGGCGCAGGTGGGGGCAGTACAGCCGCACTGGAGGCCCCATGTGCTGCTCCTTTCACTGATGAAATTTAAGGAGAGCCCTGAACCGCAGCTTCAAAAAGAGCGGAGGCCCACTCTGGCAGCTCCTCTGCTGCAGCTAGAGCACCCCCACTCTCCCCCTTCCCAGCCCTGTCCTCTGTCGGGGCTGCTAAACAGACACTGGACAGGACTTAGGAGATGCAGCTGCATGGAACAGCTGGGGACGAAGCTGGCGGCAGTGCAGCCGTGCAGAAAAGCTGCCAGCATGAGGCTCAGTTGCCAGCATGTCTGTAAGAAATATTCTCTGCTGTCAGAGGGAGCTGCTTTGAAGAAGAAGTGTGCCTCTTGTCTCAGCAGTCCACAGCAGCTGTGCTGTGTCCCCCCACTGAGAGCGCTCCCATCCAGGTAATGTGGGATGGATTCTGGGGAGGGAAGAGGGTCAAAGCAGGGCTCCAGACTGTGAGCGGGGCTAGGTCACAGAAAGAGTCAACCACCCTCCCACACAAACTCTCTGTTTGGCTGGTGCAGTGGACTGGTAAGAAATGAATTGTACCTGCACCACTGATTTATTTTAGGTTTCAATGTAAGCTCCTATTTTTCTCTTTTTTACTTGTTTGCAAGTAGCTCTACACTTGCATGCTCTCTGAATTTAAGAATAAAAAATGAAAAAGCTTTTAAATGGGAGAGTTCTTCCATATCTGGAAGCAGGTTAAATGCCAAGGAGAAGCACAATAAAAAAGACTAGTTAAAAATAATTTGTGCCTTTTGTAGTAAAATGCCCTGAGGAAAGGATGCACAGCTTGATGTGTGGGCCTGCTTCACTTTCTAAGGAAAATATCAATGAAAGGCACCCTGAGGGACAGAAGAATGGAAGATCTGAACTTAATGAAGGTTGACAATGACTATTATTGATGTCCTTATCACAGATGACAAGTGGTTTAAGGGACTGTTCTACCATATTGACACTGTACCAGTTCAAACACTTTTTTTATATATATAATCTGGGGCACTGTTTGCTTCAATGCAGCATCTAAAAAACTTGATGTGGAAAATGACATTTTTTTTCACCCTATCTTCCTTTTCTTCATCTTTCAGACTGAATAACAGCTACATTAGCATAAACTATTTTAATCTCAAGATTAAAAATTGATCCCTCTCTACTGGATCACTGTTTCAGGATTGCTCCTCCTCCCCCTCCCCCCGCTTCACCCCAAAACCACACAAACACACATTTACAATACCTAGGTTTTGTGATGCTAGGATCTTACATGATGCTCTAGTAATACCCACAAATTGAGAATGGAGGAGAGGATTGTTTAAATTCAGAATGATAATATATTTTTAATGAAACAGATTGATTAACAAGGCACAAATGTTCATAATGACTAATATAGAGATTCAGAAGCTAGAAAGGCCACCTTCCTTTTTACCAAGACAAGCATTGATAGAATGTGTCAGAGAGCCATCTTGTGGACCTCACAGGTATATAACAGGAAGTAGGCTAGAGAAGAGGGGAAAACACTTATCTCCTATAGTTTCAGAGGGGTAGTCCTGTTAGTCTGTAATTGAAAAAACTTTAAAAAAAACAACCAATAGTCTTGCAGCATCTTAGAGACTAACAAAAATGTAGATGGTATCATGAGCTTTTGTGGGAACAACCCCCTTTTTCAGAGGAATGGGAAGATGAATGCCATTCATCTGAAGAAGTGGTTTGTGTCCACAACAGCTAATGATACTATATTTTTGTTAGTCTCTAAGGTGTTGCAGGACTATTCATTGTTTTTAAAGTTTTTTTTCACTTATCTCCTATGACCTGCAATTCCTATGCAATGGAAAGAAGCCCTATCGACCTGTGATTTAAAGATTTAAAAGGTCAGAATTGACAATTCCAAACATTCGTATACTATAATCAGGTCCCCTTCTCCCCTTCATTTTGGGTTCTTCTGTTTGCCTTTTTGTTTCTGAGCACGTAAGGACCACTGGATATGTTTTCAAACATTCTCTCCCAAAAAAGTAATTAGATTCTCATGCAATAATGAGATTCCTGGAATTTTAAGAAAATCACATAGCACAAGACTTGCCCTAATGTTGTGAAAAATTGATAACAGTGAATTGGTGAAAGGCTCTATAGGAAATTAGCAATGCACCAAGGTATCTACAGAAACAACCTTTGAGAATGAGGCTTCAGTAAATAAAATAATCTTTCCAGAAAGTAAATTCAACTTGTAACCCTTCTGGACAGACAAGATCTTCCATTCTCTGGCTAGTTAG